AGGAACAGCCACACGTCAGTCACCCCGACGGAACCTTTTTCAAACCTGACATCGTGGTTCATCAACAAAACAGAACCTTAATCTGCGATATAGGGGTCAACTGGGAGAGATCCCAAATTCTTGGGACCTCCCACGCGGCGAAACGAGCCGTCTACAATCACGAGAAATTTCTTTAGGCCGCACAACATCGATGGCCGGGAAGGGAATTCCGAGGTTGAGCCGATTGTGATCGGCGCGCGAGGCATTTGGCCTCGATCTAAGAGAAAGTTGCTGCTACGTTAGCAATTCCACACAGCCTTAAGGCCAGTTGCGTCCATTCGGTCCTCAAATGGGGATCATCGATTCACGCGGCATTCGGGCGTCCCGTATGGAGAAGACGTTAAAATCGGAATGCCTACCTATGGTCCCCCTCCATAGCGGCCGGCAACGGATGCCTTTTATAGTGTTGTGAATGTTTTGGTGCGCGTTTTATTGTCGTAACTTATTTTCTTATACTTTTTATTTGTAATGTTTTAACATTGTATATGACTTCCGGCCTGCGTGCCGATGTGACAGCCTTTAAAAACGTGGCACATGTATTTTGATTCAATAAATATTTTCAATAGCCAAATGCCTCGTCATCTAATTAGTGACGCGCATGAATGGATTACCGATATTCCCACTGTCCCTACCCACTATCTAGCGAAACCACTGCCAAGGGAACGGGCTTGGAAAAATTAGCGGGGAAAGAAGACCATGTTGAGCTTGACTCTAGTCTGGCATTGTAAGGAGACATGAGAGGTGTAGCATAAGTGGGAGATGGCAACATCGCCGGTGAAATACCTTTACTTTAATCGTTTCTTTACTTACTCGGTAAGGCGAAACGCGTGCGTCGTTCGCTCACAGGCGGCGACTGTCACGGTATTCTCGAGCCAAGGGCACGGAGTGGCGTTTCGTTGCGTAGTGCCGTGCGTTGGGTTAGTTCTAGCGGTTTTGTGCCGTTGGGACGGCCGATGTATGCATGCTGCATTTCGTGCGTCAGGCTAATTCGATTCGAGGACACAGTCAGCCGGGGAGTTTGACTGGGGCGGTACATCTGTCAAAGAATAACGCAAGTGTCCTTTTAGTACCAAAGTGTCAACGACTGCTATGAAGCTCCTCCAATACATTTCTGACCTGTGATTTCGGTACAATCACTTGGTGGACTACATGTACTCCATCGGGCTCTCCCACTTCTGGTGCAATAGACCATCGTGAAGATACACGAGAAATGATAAGTGTAAAAATATACAATAAAATAAACAATATCCATAGTAAAATATACAATAAAATAAACAGTATTCATAGACAATTTAGTGCAGTTTTGACAAAAGAGAAAAGGGGTTTTATAGTGGGTGAACATATTTTGGGATTGGTGGGGTTTGGGAATTTTGTTTCGCGCACTGGTCCGCGCACTAGTCGAACCCGGCACTCTTGATTTATCTGCGCACTTTTTTATTTTTAAAACTCAGAGATGCGTCGCTGCTCCGCTCACAAGTGACACACTAGATGGGTTTTTGAATCCCGTTAGATCCAACACCGTCCACTAATCCGAGTCTGGTTCGTCATAAATTATTGATTCCCCCCATTGATTGATCCAACTGACCAGCGTCTGTGGGTGGGTAAGTTTTTTGTATAGTTGACAGTCTGTTTGTTAGTAGTTGCCTTGCGTTTCGTCTTTGTGGTTCGTTGCAGTATAGTGTCGCGTGTGTTATGTCCTCAAAGGTCGTGCAGTATTCGCAGTTTGTGTCGAGTTCGTTTCTTAGGTTGAATCTGTCATAGTATGATTTAATGTTTCCATGTCTTGTTATTGTCTGTGTCGTTTTCCATGTGAACCCAGCCCACTGTGTGGATACTTTTCGTATTATGTCATGTGTTGATCGTCCTGTTTTTCCGTTGTCCCAAATGTCTTGCCAGTATCTTAATTTAGCTTTATAAGTTTTGTTTTTTGCGTTTTTTTGTTTGTATAGTCGATGTTTGTGTGTTGTATTGTGTTGTCTCTGGCGATGTTGTGTATGTGTTTGATCCTGTCGTCGTTTCTATGTCTCCATTTAATTTGTATTGTGTTGTTTTATTGTGTTAGTGTTGTCGCGATTTTTTGTGTGTTTGTGACTATTTTGTTCCTTGTGTTGTAGTTGTGCATTAAGTCTACTGTGTTTCGTGAGTCCGTATGTATTATGTTTTAGTTAGATTCGGTTAGGTTTTGTTTGAGGAATTTTGTGGTTAGGTAGACCCCTAGGGATTCCAGTATGTTTATGTCGCAGTCAGTGTTTATTTTGTACCAGGTTGTGTGTGTATGTTGGTGTCTGTGCCATATTGTAATGCCGATGTAATGTTGGTTGTCTTTCGTTGTGGCGTCTGTGTATGTGTTGTAGTTAGTTTCTTCATTATGTTGTATTGTTAGTATATGTCTTTGTGCTGGGTGTGCAAGTTCCGTGGTTTTTGTCCTGAAATTTGTTGGTGTTTGTCTTATGTCCGTATAGCTTTCCCAGCTAGCCTTTGCATCCATTTGGAAGGGTATGATCCCTGCGAGCACATGCAAGGCCAGTGTGGGAGCAGTGCGGTACGCCTTTGTGATGGCCAATAGGAATGATCACTCGGTCGCCTGTAGGTGCCGTACCACTCTTGTGTCGGCATGCCTGGAGCCCCAGATTTCAGCCCCGTATAATATCATTGGTTTGATGGCATTTATAAAGATGAACTTTAGAATTTCCGGCTTTCTGTCCCAGTTTCTCCCGGCAATATGAAAAAGCTTGTTTGAAATGTCTGAGGCTTTCTGTCTGGTGCTCCTGACATGCTCTATCCAGAGCAGTCCGGCGTCCAAAGTCACTCCGAGATAGACCATCGTATTCCCCACCTCCAAAGGCGCATCGCCGATCTTTAGTCTGGGGGTCTCGTGTTCGTTTGTAAGGTATAAACATAGTCACTGTCTTTGCCTTGTTGTACGTGAGTTTGTTCGTTGTGGCCCAAGCCTCGCAGGCTGCTCATATTTTGTTCCATTTGTTTTCTAGTTTATTTAATGATGTGCCCGAAATTATTATAATTTGGTCGTCTGCGAAGGCTTGAACCATGTCGTTTCATCTAATGTGCCCGTGTCGTCTAATGTCTTAAACCAGGTGTCCATAAGGAGGAGCCCTCGTTGTGTCGGAGTGATGATGTTGTTTGTTTGTATTTGTCTGTCCGTTAAAAAATTGTTACAAAGGTTGACGATATTTGTCGGTACGTTAGTGTCGGTTAGTCTTTTTTTGATCATCGGTAGCCATGCTGAGTTAAATGCGTTCTTCATGTCTAAAGCTATGGCTACCGAGTGTATTTTTGTTTTGTTTTATTTTGTTGGATTGTCTTTGTAATGTTTTGTATTGCGTCGATTGTCGTTATCCCCTCCCTGAACCCGTATTGTCTGTTATCGATATGTCTTGTCGTTTCCAAGTGGTAAGTGAGTCGTTTTGCCAAAAGTTTGTCGGGGATTTTCCATAGGGTGGGTAGAAGGCATATGGGGCGTTTTTCGGAGTTTTTCTTGGGTAACCACACCATATCGGCAATTTTACAGATTTTTGGGAAATATCCTTTGCTTAGGCAGTTGTTATAGAGTATATTTAATAGGTTGGGGTTAGTTGTGTTAATTATTTTGACTATTTCTTTAGGGATTTTGTCATTTGAGGTGGCTTTTTTATTTATCATTGCCGATATGGTGCGTTCTATCTCTTGGGATGTGAAGGGAAGGTCGAGTGTGATGGGATTGGGCGGGTTGTAGTTGCGTATGTCTGTGTGTGTTTTTTCGTCTGTGTTTACGTCGTATTTTGGAAAGTATTTGTCATGTAGGGCGTAAATAGTCTCGTCGATGTTGTTGGTCCATGTTCCTGGTCCATGTTCCGTCATCTTTTTGTAGTGTCCTTAGAGTCCTGTCTTGGGTTGTTTTTGTTCTTATTATCTTGTATGCTGTTTCCCATGAGTTTTCGGGGTCGGTGTCTGTTAGGAATTCGCGGATTGTCTTTCTTTGTTTTTTTAATAAGGTTTTTGTATTTTCGTCTTTGTGTTTTGTATGAGTCGATCTTAAGTTGTCTCTCAACTGGGTCCCGTTCTTGTTGGTATTTTTTTCTGACAGTGTTAGTTTTAGTCCGTTCTTTGTTAATTTCTTGTGTCCACCAGATTTGTGTCTTCTTTTTTTTTGTTTTGTTGCTTTTTTAATGTTCTACTCATGATTGTTCGTATGTTTTTTGTGTGTTTTTCTATGTTGTCTGTTACGGTCCAGTCGTGGTTCTGTATATCGTTTTATATGTTGTTTTCGTTGATGTTTTGTAAGTCATAGTTTGTTGTGTTTGTCGTGCTTGTTCTTGTATTTTTGAATTTTATTTTAAACGTTATATATGCATGATCGCTTAAGGTCTCTTCTTCCGTAACAGTCAAGTTTTGTAAATGTAATTTGTTTGTAATCGTCAAGTCCACCCAACTTGTCCCTCTAGTGTTCCTGAATGTAGGTAAGCTGTCGTGTTCGTTTTCGATTTTGAAACCCAGTTGAGTTGTCCAGTCTATAATGTCTTGTCCTCGTCTGTCCGTTTCGTTTCCTCCCCAGGCGGCGTTCTTAGCGTTTAAGTCGCCTACTAGTAAGAAGGGTTGTCTAATTTTGCTAATGCGGTTTTTAAATTGTTCTAATCTCTTGTTTGTGTTGCCGCCTGGTTCGTCGTAGATGTTTGTGATGATGAAGTCTACACTCTGGTATTCTATTTTTATTGTTAGGACGTTATTGTTTGTTAGTTCTGTCAAGATTTGGTTCTTTAATTTTGTCTTTGTTATTATAGCCACTTTGGCTTTGTCTGAGGTTTTAATTAGAGTGTAGCCTGTTGGTATCGTCGTGTTGTGGTAAGGTTCTTGTATTAGTGTTTATGTCGATGTCCTTTTCGTGTATGTGCTGTATCAGTTGGTCAGTGGCGTTTTTGCCTTTCCCTGCGTCAAATTGTAATATGTTAAACAAGAGGCCGGGATTAGTAGACGATGCTGTTCTTTGCGTCTTCTAGCTTGCGTTTGTAGACAGGACAGTTCACATCCCTGGCTTCGTGTGACCTGAGCTGTAGGCCGAGTCGTTGGCAATTCCCGCAATTGTACGCTGTGTTGCTGCATGATGTTCCGCTGTGTTTTCCTGCGCATTTGTAACAAGTATAGTCGGTGTCATTGCATCTTTCAGCTGAGTGGCCATATCTGCAGCATTTATAGCAGAGCATTACGGAGATGTATTCTTCCACATAGCTCTTTGAGAGGTCTAGGTATAAGTATCCCTTTTTCAGTATAGTCTTAATTATTTCCGTGGGCCCCGTAATTATGATGTTTTCCTTAAATGGGTTTCGGCAGTTTCTGCCTCCCACCCGTTTCATTTCTTTCTCCCATTCTTCACCGAAGAGTATGTCCAGTTCATTTTCCATATTTATTGCTTTGAATAGTTCTTCTTCGTTAAAGCCCTTTTGGACTCCCGTTATTAGTGCCATGGGCGTCATATTACGGTTTCCATCCTTGGCCGTTATTGTGTTGATTTGCGCGGCCTTTTTAATTAGTTTTGTCTGTTACTCTCTAGTTTTAGTTCCTATAATTACAGCCGATTGAGTCCTTCTGACTTGGTGCCCTTCAAGGTCTTTGGCCTTAAAGATTTTCTTAAGCTCGGTGATCGGGTTGCTGTTAATGCCTTCGTTTACTTTTATTATGGTTTCGAAGCTTTGTTGTCTTCTTTCTAGTATCGGGGTTTTCCACTCTTTAGGTGGTTCTCTTACTTGTGTCGGTTGCTGTGCCAGTTGCGCATAGGTTTTTACTGTTTGTACGGTTTGAGGGTTTTGGGTCTGGTCCTTTGTTTGTATGTTGTCGATCTTTTTTAAAAGCTCTTGTGTGAGGTTATTTAGGCTATTGTCGGATGGGGCCGGTGTTGGTATTTTTGTTTCAATTAGCTTCTCTTGAAGTGCGGTTATTCTGGACTCTTGCGTGTACAAGAGCCCTAGTAGCATTTGGATGTTATTGTTAATATCCGAGACACTTGTATGAACGGTTTTCTGCTCAACCTTGTTAAAAGCTAACTTCCTGTCGGCGGATACTCGGGTTGTTGCCGTAATGATGTCTTTTGTTGCTTTGTGTATGGTCGTAATTATGTGTGCCACTTCGTTTTTTGCCTTGGGTGAGTGCTTTTTCCTTTTATATCTGGAATCTCCGTCTGTTTTTGCAGATTCTTCACTGTCTGTCCCCGAGGTGCATCCTGCTTTTCGCTTGTCCCTACTACTGTCGTTGGATCTGTCTAGCTTTTGTTTCGGTGTGAAGGGATCGTTTGCCTTATTTTTAGGCTCTTGTTCGCCGTCCGATGGCATTTTGCCTATGGCCCCGTTTCCTTCTGCAGGTGTCCGAAGAACGATAACACTTTCAACTACTACTTGGAACAACACTATTTCTCGCTCAGGCGCATCCGGCAACAAACTTGTAGAGGAGCGCTAGGGCTCTTCTAGAAATGCGGAGACTTGTACCGTTGCTCGTGAAATTTGGTGTTGCCACCAGCGTGTCTCGAGCCGAAGTGAAGATACAGGAAATCCCACTGAGTCCAGTACCCTTTAGTGGTTCCACTATATTTGGCTATCTCTTGCCATGTAGGTCTGACTCCGTTTCTGAGCCATTCTCGGACAACCTTCAAGTTATTGTCTTTCTTTTAAGTCTTTCTTAGGCTTTCAAGGGTGATTTCGTCTTCGTCATCCTCTGGCTTGATAGTGGTCGCCTGTAGACTAACTTCTTCAACCAGCTCCTCTCGTTCTTCAAGCCTTTTACAGTACCGGCATTATCGTTCTAAACAGGTCGCCTGGAGAGAATATTTGCGTTGCTATGGAGACGTCCCCTTCGATGCACTATCTTAAAGTTATATTGTTGCAGTCTTTCTATCCATCTAGCAACTTGTCCCTCAGGTTTTTTAAAATTCATCAGCCACTGCAAGGCACTATGGCCACTTCTAATGATAAAACTTCTGGTAAAAAGGTAAGTATGGAAGTGTTCAAGGGCTTTGACAATAGCTAATAGTTCTTTCCTGGTGACGCAATAATTCTTCTCTGCTTTTCCCAAGGTCTTACTAAAGTAAGCGATTACTTTCTCTTTCCCCTCTTGTTCTTGGGATAGCACGGCGCCCAAGCCGTGTTTAGATGCATCACAGTCCAAAATAAATTGTCCTTATTCTCGAGGATAGGCTAGGATGGGTGCTGTGGTCAATCGCTTTTTCAACTCGGTGAAGGCATTTTGGCAATCCGGCGTCCAGTCAAATATACTACTATTTTCAGTTAGTCGATGAAGGGGTTTAGCAGTTCGGCCAAAGTCTTTGATGAATTTCCGGTAATATGAGCACAGTCCAAGAAAACTTCTAATTTCTCTTTTATCTTTTGGTTTAGGCCAATCTTTGATAGCGATAATTTTCTCCGGATCAGTTTTGATTCCTTCTGCAGAACCAATGTGTCCCAAATAATAAGCTTCCGATTGGAATAGTGAACATTTATTGTGATTAAGCTTTAGATTGGCATTTCTTAATCTGTCAAATACTTTACTCAAATTTGTTAGATGTTCATCAAAAGGTTTTGACATGATCATTATGTCATCGAGATACACTAGACAAGTTTTACAGGTTAATCCTTTCAAAACCATTTCAATTAGACGTTCAAAGGTAGCTGGGGAATTACAGAGACCAAACGGGAGAATCTGGAATCTGTATAATCCGCTGCCAGTTGAAAAAGCAGTTTTGTCTCGATCGTCAGTATCCGCTCTTCAAGTCTAGCGTGGAAAACCATTTTGCACCTGATAGTGTTTAGTGTGTCGTCTATTCGGGGGAGTGGATAGCTGTCTTTCTGTGTTATCTGATTTAATCTTCTATAGTCTACACAGAAACGAGTAGATCCGTCTTTTTTAGTTACTAGGACCACAGGTGAGCACCAGGGACCAGAAGCTTTTTCAATGATATTTGCAGCCATCATATCCTGTATCATATTAGCTACTTCTTTTTATTTAGCAAATGGAAGTCTTCTAGGTGCTTGTCGTATTGGCCTTGCATCGCCTGTATAAATTCTATGCTGAACAAGACTGGTACGCCCCGTAGATTTTCCTGTTTTGAAAATGTCACAGTTGGTATTAATGAATTATTTGACTTTTTCGATGATAAACTTATTTTGCATAATGTCCATACCAGGGACATACTGATCTTTAATATTGGCCACCAGAAATAAGTGTTCTATCAGGGTATTACCAATCTGTACGGTTGCTGATATCTCGCCTAGAACAGGATTAGTGTGCCCTTTAGCTGTTTCCAGAACTAAGCTTTTTCGAGTTGGTCTTAGTTTTCGGTTCAGGATCCCTGTTCGAATGAAAGACTTAGTTGCACCAGTATCAAGGACGAAGGTGCCTTCTTGGTTATCGATAGATTTTGTTCGTTTTTATTTTAGATGTAGTTGCGAATTTTGGGGCCTCTGTTACAGCCGACGCCTGCCCCGTAGTGCCGACCTTTATTCGTTTACCTGACTATTGTTAGAAAGCTGGCTAGGTGTGGGTTACCGGCTTCTCCGAGAGGCATATCTGCTGTAATTATTTCTTGATGGGCTTCGTAATGGGCTTCGGGAGGTTGATCTCGGTGACCTTCCGATTATCGATTTATAAAACGAGCCCGGCTTCGACAAGTTCTTTTAAGGTGTCCAATTCTTTCACAATTAAAGAATCTTCTGCTTTCGTTTTGGCTACTTCATTGCATACTTTGCAGGATATTTAAGATTTGAGGGATAGTATTGGTAGTCACCTCTTCTCTTGAAATCGAATTTCTCTCTCAAGTTTGCGCGGGAAGATCTAGATATACTTTTTGCTGCTTCGTATTCCTGGGCTGCAATAATTTTCTTACTTAACGTCTTGTGGTGTTGTAACCGAAGAGCCTGCTGCATTCCACGTCCTGTAGTCCATCAATGAATGCTTGTATGCCGATTTGTTTTAAGAAATCTATAGGTGCCTGTGGATAGGCCTCTTAATATCGGCTTCGAATTCTTGTAGATTCTCATTGTGTTTCTGACTAGGAACTTTCAGCTGGCTTTGGAATACCTGTTTGAAATGCTGCTGGCCATATCTTGTCTCTAAAGCTTGGACGAGAGATGAATAACTGGGTTCCTCTTGAGGAAGTAACTGTAAAACGGTTGCTGCCTGACCTCGCAGTGACACTATCAATGAAGCCACCATCTCTTTCTCGGTCCAGCCATTGGCTCTAGCTGCAGCTTCAAATTGGAGTCGATATGTTTCCCATGTTGTCTGACCGTCGAACGTGGGTGGATTAAGGGTCTTGCTAGTATAGTTTTGTAAAACTGGGATTCGAATGTGGCTTGGTTCGGTTATGGATGCAGACGAGGCAGTGTTTTCAGCTTCAATGTTGCTTACCGGAGCTTGGCTACGAATTCTTCTTTCTAACTCTACCATTTCAGCTCTAATTTGCCTTTCTAACTCTACTCTTGTCTTTTTCTGTTGTTGTTCAAAATTGATTTTTAAATTCTGTTGCTGCTGTTCTAAATGAGTTAGATGCTCTTGTTGTTGCTCCAAATTAGTTTTTAACTTCTCTTGCTGTTGTTCTGCATTAGTTTTTAAAATATCTTGTTGTTCAAAATTCATTTTAAGATTCTCTTAATTGGTTTTTAGATTCTCTTGCTGCTGTTCTAAAATGGCTTTTAGATTATCTTGTTGTTGTGTTAAGAGGTCTACTCGGGTATTTTGCTGACCTACCTCTTGCTTAAAGTTTTCCTTAATTTGCAGCAAACCATTCATAATTTCTACCTCAGCTTTCCTACGCCTTTCTTTTTTCTCCTCCTCTTCCTTCCTACGCTGTAACCTTAAAACGATTTTTTTTAAGTACGAAGTTAATGTAGTTCGACAAGTATGATTTTGTTTACGGTGATCTTGTCCAGAGAAAAAAATGTTTTCCTCCTTATAAACTACATGCCGCTAGCCTTTCGTCGGTGAGTACTATGGGTCGTAGGTACGATTAAATTAATATTAAAATTCAGATCAAAAGGGTACCCGGTGGCGCCACTAGATTTGAGAAGCAGAAATTTAGAAAAGACGATTGCAAGAACAATGTCTTGTAAAGTTGTAAAAATTGAATGAGAGTGAAACCTGTAAAATAATTAAATAAAATACCTTGAGTTCATATTCAATCTTTATCAATTTTCTTTGCTGGATGAGATGTTAATTATATTTTATGATTTCATTTAAATTGTCAGACATCAGCCTTTGAATATGAATTACTTATACAACAGGTAAGCTGGTTGAGATGTTAATTATATTTTAAGATTTCATTGAAATTGTCAGACATCAGCTCTTGAATATACATGTATTACCTATACAACAGGTAAGCTGGTAGAGATGTTCTACAACCCTAAAGGGGTTTATAATCAGCCATCAAGCTATTCGAATACTTCGGGGTGCTGCGTAACATTATTATGCTTTAATATTTTCGTTGGTTTTT